AAATTATTCTGTAACCGTCTGCTCGTCATCACGCATCTGTCCAAAATGCTACAGATCGGTTCGGTTTGGACGAATCGAAATATCCACTACTCACCCCTAATTTAAAAAGGGTTGCCTTGAATTCAAAGTGACTCCTACCAATTAATATTCTTTTACTAACATTTTAAATAAATTACATTGACATCTCTTGAAGTTTAAAAAAATTACAGCAAATTCTATAATTTGATATAATTATCCTAAGTTTGTTTTTAGTAAGGTTAAAGAGATCAAAACTAATACAGATGTGAGATATACAAAGCAAAATTAATATTTTAATGTAAAAGATATGACAACATTATTTTTCATTCATACGATTACGAATTTTCAATGAAAAGGGAGCTAAATGTTATATGAATTAAAACCTTCAGATGGTCCAGTATAATTATGCCAAACTTATGAGACTTATTATATTTTTTTCTTCTAAACTTTAGGAAGGTCAGTGTAATTTATTCTAAAATTTTTGTTAGATTTTGTACGTGAAATACTTCCATATCAGATATCAATACTCTTTCAACATTCAAGCCTAGGGCTTAACTTGTAAATGAGTTAGTACTCATCCTTTTTGTGTCCAAGTGTTAGCTTGGAAAGATGTAAGCCCTTAGGGCATTTATTTTGATGTTGCAGGATGTTACAAGTAAAGTCTGTCAATAAGAATACTCTGGTGACTAACTCAAATGATTCATTTTCTTTTATAAATGCATGTTAATGTTATGGTTATTATGGGTTTATTTTGAGGGCGTAACACCTCGTTTGGGAAGGACTTTTTGATTTTTTTGATTTTTTATGAGAGAAAGAATGCAATGATTATGTGTTGAATGTGATGTTTTATCTTATTGAATTAAAAAGTCTATTTTGTCTTTTTATGACTAAAATAGCCCTAAACTCAACCTAACCCATCTTCCTAAACAGAGGCTTAGCTTTCTTGAGTTGGGGTTAACTCAGTTTTCACATTGGTTCAATATGATTCATGGGTAGTTTTAAAAACTTAAGATTCGATTCGTTATATTTTTTTTGACAAAATTTTATAACTTGTATAATTTATTAACATGTCTAAATGTATTTGATTTTGATTACTGTTTATATAATAGGTTTTTATCATTTTTTTATTATTGCAGTAATTTTTTAATTAATAAGTCAAATTTAAATAATAAAATTAAATGTACATGTCGATAATCCAGTTATACACTTAATCGATTTAATTCTAAATCTAAAATTTTAAAATTGACCTATACACATTCCTATTCATATCCACGGTATAAAAAAATTACAGGTATATAAAATTTCTTGACAATTTTAAAAACATGATTTGAGTACATTTTGATCAATTCATTGAGATAGGACATTTAAATGAGATGGTGTTATTGATATATTAGTCTCAACCTAATAAAGTGACATGGTGTTATTGATATGATTGAAAATAGAAGGTGCAATGCATAGGTAGTTATGAATTAGAATTAAAAAAATAAAATAAAATAAAATAAAACAATAAATAAATAAATAAATAAATAAATTAAGAAGAAAAGAAAAAGAAATGAGCTCCTTGACATCCCCATTAGAAGGTTCCTCGAAACTAAAGTGACTATGAACAATTATTTAGATACTTTTTTTCATTTTCATGAGTGTTTCTTAGTCTATCTCATGATTATATTTTATATATATATAAGGGCACTTGAGTAATAAATTTAAATTTGATTTTTTTTTAAAAAATGCACGTGCTAAAATATTATGTTTATAAGAACAAGTTTATATAAAATGATCAAACTACTTATATAGACATATCTGTCTATGAGACTTTGATTTCAAACCCTACCAACCAAAGAGTCTCTACCCCCTCCTCTCCGTCTCGCTTTCTTCCATTTGTTTCTCTTTTCCTCACTATTTCTCAGCTCTCCCTCACTCTCTCTCTCTCTCTCTCTTCTTCACCGTTTCTCTCACCAACGTCAATCTCACTATCTCACAAACCAATCTTAGTCAATCTCACTATCTTATATATTATAAAAAATAAATGATTATTTTTCAAATTATGTATATTGTTTAATTTTTTAAAACAAATGTGATTTAAACATATAACTACTGATATTCAATTATCTTGATTTTTTTACATGACTATTCTACTTAGTTCCAAAATGAATCTATTCAACCCAAATGTTCTCTCAAATTGAGTGACCAATTTAAAAGAATCCAAATCCAATTTGTAATGGATGTTTTTTTTTTTTTTTTTTTCAAAAAGATAATGTATGTTATTAATGACACTTTGTAATCTTGAGCCTAAAACAACTATTCATGTTCTTAAGGATTGTAGATTGACCAGATTGTTCTACAATGTGGTGGGCATACCACCTACTCCTTTACCATCTTTCTCTCAAAACCTTGGGTCAAACTCAAATTGCTTTTATCAGATAGTTTTCACTGCTTTTTTTGGCTCATTGGTCTTTCATTTCCCCATTATCCAAACTGGAAGTACATATGAAAGAAAATAGGAACTCAGCTTGTCTCAACACTTCACATCACCAGGCCCTTAATTCTCCTATTGCCATTGCCACTGCCAATGCCAATGCCATTGATTGGCAGCACATTTCTTCATTTCCTAAGCCTAAAACTACTTTCTCCACTTTGGTTGAGGGTAAATTAGTTTGTTAGTTTATGTACTTTAATATTTATGTCATTTTAATTTTTATAATTTTAATAGATTCTTGACATTAATTTTACATTTGATTTAATAAATCTAAATGATTATAATTGTTAGTATTTTTTATGCAATTGCCCTTATGATAATCAAATTTAGAATATTAATTCAATGAAAGTTCGATATAAATTGAACCATTAATTTCACAACTAGTGCAAAAAACTCGCCAACATTTGCCTATAAAATAAAATAATTTTTTTTTCTTCTCTTTTTGTATTTGTTTTTTTTTTAAATTAAATTTATTCAATATTTTAGACTAAAAAATTGATTTAATATAGCTTACTCCAATAGTGAGAATAAAAAAATTTATAAAATTGTTAAAAAAAAATACTTAAAGGGTATTTACAAAAAATGAATTTAATATAGTTACGGTACATTTATGCATATACAATACATATATATTATATATGCACAAAATATACAATCAAATTAATAATAATTAGATTAAAATACTCTTTTCCTGTTAGTTTTAATTATAAAAAAATAAAAATATATTTAAAAAAAAAGAAGATAAAAATGGAGCCCGAAAAGAAAATAAAAAAAAATTAGGGCTAAAACAAACTTTATACCACAAAATCAACAATATATATCCCTCTTTTGGCAAATAAACTTTTTTTAAATTTTTTTGACTAAATTACTTAAAAAAATAAAATAAATTAAAAAATTAATAAAATAAAAGGTTACATTCAAATCATAATTCACTTTTTTCGTTCACAAAAATTAAAAAGTAAAAAAAAAATCAATCCAAACAAACTTTTTAACGCACACTAAAATAACCAAAAATATATATATATATAAAAAAAGGTGAGGCTCAGATCGTTTTATGGATCAAGAAAGAATGCGAGTCCGCCATGGCTGCCACAACAGTTGCCTGTGACAGAGAGAAGAAATCTGACACAAACCCTCCGAGTTGCCCAGCCAATAAACGGGTCGGGTTCTCAGTGCCCGGCTCAAGAAATACATCGTCACTGCCTCGAAATTATGCATTTCAATGCTCCAAGAGGGTAGTGCCATCACAGCTTTATTTTATTTATTTATTTTTGGTTTGGTTTTTGTTTTTGGTCAAGAAAAAGGTGAATATCATCCAACCTTCCACTTGTGCACACACACATGCACAGAGAGAGAGAGAGAGCTGTTGATTTTGGAGGTGAAATCATCAGCCCTGATGATCTTTGATCGATCATCTTGTTTATGTAGAGAGGGTCAACCACCCTCAGAAACTTCCCAATCTCTTTGTTAGGAGCCTCATTCATTCTTTGAGCCTAACCCCAGTTGCTGTCGGGAGCTTTTATTTACACACACCATATACACTCTATACACACATATTGGGAGCTTCTATATACACACACCCTTTTCTCTCTATACAAATCCTTCTCAATACACACACTAAAAAAATAAATCCTAATATATTTGACTCACTACACACACCTATCATTCCACATATACCCCCAAATGTAAATCATACACACACACACCCCCTCTCTCACACACACCCGTCTGTCACCCCTCTCACACACACACCCATCTGAGAACCCCTCTCTCACACACACCCATCTCTCACACTCTCCACCGTTTCTCCCCAAAAGCTTCATCCATCCATCTGTGTCATTGAAGTATTGGCATTAAAGAGCATTGAAATCTTCACATTTTAGGTTAGTTTACACAGATTAGAATCTTCTCATTCCTATTTTATTTGTAATGTAGGGTTAATTTTTACCATTTTCCGTCCACCATTGCAAGTGATTGCCGTGTTTCCTTATTCGGAACTGGTTAGTCGAATTTTTTGTTTTTGTTCGGCAATCTAGTTTCGAAAACAAGAATAATATTCGGCATTAGAGTTTCGAATTTTCTGCTTCTATTCGGCACTATAGTTCCGAAAATATTTACTTGGTTTGGCTTTCAAGTGCCGAAAATAATTTTTTTTTCGGTTTTCAACTTCCGAATTGTAGCTTTAATTTCGGACAACAACTTCCGAACAGAATAGGTATTTTCGGTTGTGAACTTCCGAACAGTTTTTTTTTCCTTCTTAATTAAAACACTTAATTATAACAGTTATTATAATTTAAAACACTTATTATTTACACACACACTCTCATTAATTTTACACACAATCTCTCATTATAATTTAAAACACTAATTATTTACACACACACTCATTACACACTCTCATTAATTTTACACACACACTCATTACACACACACTTATAATTTAAAACACTCTCATTAATTTTACACACGCTCTGTTTATTTACACTTAGTATTTTTTGCAGATAATATGGATTCTGAATATCAACAACGTGTCCCACCTACTGCTTCAAATAGACGACGTCGTGAATTGGATGTAGACCATGAACGGGGACGAGGGCATGGGCAAGGACGAGGTCAAGGTCGTGGTCGAGGTCGTGATCCAGTTTCGGTAGAATATGATATTCCCAGTGCCAGTCAAAGTGGGAGCCGAAGCCAAAGACGAGTTGAAGGTTATGATATGCCTGACATTGCTGTGGAGGATACCTTTTTACCTGATTCTCCTTCTGTCCAGGAAGAGTACCTTACTCATGCTTTTCCAGGTGGACCAACTGATCCGTCAATACTGCGGAGTTTCAATAGTCATGTGGCTGCAGCTATTTGGCACGGGGAGGTAAACATTCCTCAGTAAACTGAAATTCATTTGTATATGATTTTTTTTGTGTGTGTGTGTGTGTGTGTGTTGTATGGTAGTTTGTAATGAGATATCATTTGTGTTGTAGGAACGAGGGCCCCTAAAGTGTCATAATCACTCTTCCAAGATCCTTGCATGGCCATGGTGGTTAGTAGAGAACAACACCAGATTCAAAGCCATTATTGAGCAGTCTGGACTGTCACAGTTAGCTCGTTGCACTTATCGGTTCGTCAACAAGCTTCTATTCTCTAGTTTTGTTGAGAGATGGCAACCTGAGATGAACACATTTCACATGACAGTTGGTGAGATGACCTTGACCCTGGATGATGTTGGCACTATTCTTGACCTTCCCATTGTAGGCAAATTAGTCAGCATACCAGATGTGACAAATCAGTCAGCATACCTGATATGTTCCCTAAAATGTGATATTCTTTTCAAATGCAGCGTATTGCACTTGCACTGCAGATTTCACATCCTATTATTGACGCTGGTTATCAGGAGGGGATTCGCCATCCTTATCGACTTTACCAAGCTATCGAGAGTATGACACATGTTCTTGAAGGTCAGCACATTAACGAAGCTGGACCTAGTTCTGCTGGAGGTCGCTTTCCATCTTCGACATTGACATACAGTCGTAGGCCTAGGCGTAGGCATACAGCTGGTTCGTGACATGTTATTTTGTTAGTTGATGAATCTTTTTTGGTGTTTTTTGTAAGATGACATTGTTGTAATGGTAACAGTGGTTAATATTTTCTTATTAGAATTGAATGGCAACAATGGTATTGTAATGACATTTTATTATTAGAATGGAATGGTAACAATGGTCGTTGATTTTCTAAATGATATTTTCTTATTACAATGGAATGGTAACAATGGTCGATAAAATTCAATCCACATTGTAAAACATAACACATCAACATAAAAAACACATCCATTAATTTCTTCCATAATTCTAATATTGTCAAATGCATATATGTGTCATGCGACATCAACAACATCAAAAGTCTCTCGAGTAGCTACATTATCATGAATAATGTCCTTGAAATGTTGAATGCGGCGCACATATGCATCATCCCAGTCGACAGCGCAAGGGTGACGGTATTTTCTCCAATTAGTGGCAATAGGAGGAACTGGATGGCCTGGCTGCAACAAAACCTACACCAAATATCAATTGACTTAGTGGTCATACCTCATAACTTCTTGTACATGCACAAACCCAATTGATAAGTTTCTGTTATACCTGGACGAAATGATTTCCGTTGACAAACCCAGTGGCAATCTCACGTCTATCAAGTTGAGGTATTGGTACTGTTCTAAGAGGTAAAAAGGTGAGACATTGCTGTAAAGACAAGTGGTATAACACAAGATTGTAGCACGATGCAACAAGATGCCCCATGTCTGGCATAGTCATCCAATGTGAGTATCCAGGACTATCTTTAAAGTATGACAATATGCTTGTCAATTCTTCAAACCTTTCATAGGACCCATAAAGTGTAATGTATTCCTCTTTGTGTGTGTGTAGCTCACCCAATAGGTCACGCCTAACTTCAGCCCAATCATCTTCTGTATGACCAATTGAAGCAGCTATAGCCCTAAAACCACAATTCCCATCTGCAGCTACATCCTTGACAAACTTAATGTATGGTTTCAACCCAACAGGGAAAACATCAACATATGCACCAGGTTTCACTGTTCTAGTAATGTATGCCTTCCCTTTCGGATTCACCTTCTCCTTTCCCTTAACAGGTCACTTCTTCTTGGTTTGCAGAGTAGAAGCTAATGTAGTGATTTTAGTGTTCCTAGGTGAGAAGGAATCATGTCCAGATTGCACTAACTCAAATGCACACGGGTCACGACGGGTAGAAACATTGATCTTCTTATGATCCCGAGGACGTGTTTTGGGCTTCACCTCCGGCTCAACAAGAAAAGTGCTTTCCGGATATACAATCTCTTTCAACTTCTTCAAAAGCTCCAACCGCATGGTTCTATCACTTTCATTAAACTTGTTCACAAACAACTCTAGATGAAGCGACTCTCAGCCAAACTAGGTCAGCAGAACTAGTCAGCTTCGTCAATGTGCTGACCTTCAAGAACTGTGTCATACTCTCGATAGCTGGTAAGTCGATAAGGATGGCGAATCCCTTCCCTCATAACCAGCGTCAATAATAGGATGTGAATCTCATTGCATGTGCAATACGCGCAATTGAAAACAATATCACATCCTATTATTTACCGCTGGTTATGAGGAGGGGATTCGCCATCACTTATCGACTTTACCGAGCTATCGAGAGTATGACACATGTTCTTGAAGTCAGCACATTGACAAGCTGGACCTAGTTCTGCTGGGACTAGTTTGCTGGAGTCGCTTCCATCTTCGACGTTGACATACAGTCGTAGCCTCAGGCGTAGGCATACAGCTGATTCGTGACATGTTATGTTGTTAATGTTATTTTGTTAGTTGATGAATATTGTTTGGTGTTTTTGTAAGATGACATTGTTGTTAATGGTACATGGTTAAATATTTCTTATTTAAATGGAATACAACAATGGTATTGTAGTTGACCTTTTATTATTAGAATGAAATGGTCGATAGACACATTCCCCGTAGCTCCCTGAAATGGAATTGGTCTCCTTACTCTCGACAAGCAATACTCCAATGCAGAGATAGACACATTCCCCCGGTAGCTCCCTGAATTGAGTAAGTTTAATTAATTGATGTGCACAACAGTTAGACTTTTCTCAAATGAAGCCTTGATATCAAGTGTGTTGCAACTCAAGCAGACTGTGTATTTTCTCAAATGATCCTGAAATGAGACCTTGACATGAACCCAATTGTGTCTTTTAAGTTTGATGTGCACTCTCAGCCCTGTTAATTAAATGTAAGTCAAGTTAAATCAAAGTACATGCAGTATATAATAACATATTCAACAAAAGTAATGTTACCGGTTCGTGTTAACATTGCCACAATGCTATCACGTGTCTTCCATGCCGCCACAAATTTGTCCTTGTAAGGAACCAATCCAAGTATCCAATGACATATTTGACGCATCAGGATAACTACTGAATTCCTTAAGATAATGATTTAAGACGCCCTCTGTAATTGATTTCAGAAGATGAATACACTACAGAGTTCCACTCATGGTTGAACTTCTCCCATTTTGCTGTGTCTCAACATTTTCTTGCATTGTCAACACATCTTTACTGATATGCCAACGACATAATAAATGTCTGGCACTCGGGAATATCTTTGTAGCGATTCATCAAGGCTAGCTCTCTGTAGTAACAATAATTGTTGGACAACAAACCCATCCATGACATCACGTAATTGTGCTACACCCACGCATAGTTATCGACCTCTCATACTGTAGAGTATGCAAGATACAGAGATGTCATTTCAGTTGATGTCACTCCCACAATTTCAGAAGAGGAGCGTTATCTGTTGTTTTATATGTGCAATCCTAATTAATATACGTGGAAGATCCGAAATAAGTCCAAACTGGTGGATGTGCCCAAAACAAGTCATCACAGTCATCGTGGACTCTCAGACGATGGCTAATTTAATTATACTTGGCCAATTCACCCAATAAGTGTTGCATCTGTTGATCTTCGCTCTCTGTCCACCCTGTTTCGATGGCGTACATTGTAAATTGGTTTAAGTGTGCTTACATATGAGGGCATCTCGCTTTCAAGGT